CCTTGGGATATCTTGGTAAAAGTATGGAAATTCAGGGTAAATAAAATATTATAGCACCCAGCCTAAACCTACCTCTCCTGCAAAAATTAGCTGGCTGACTAGACTTCCTTATATTATATTATATACCAGAAGAGACTAACAGGAAGCCAATATTGTCTTGAAGAAAAAAATCATAAAACAAAAATTCTGTTCCCAGCTAAGGTAGTATTTTAATGTATTAAGGCTCCATGATGATAATATAGAGTTCTAAGAAAAGAATTCTCAGTTATTCTGGAACTCAGAGAATTATCCAAGTACTGTTCCCAAAAAAATCCCCATTAAAATGTTTTGAGAAGAAGGGTCAGGGGTGGTCATTAAAAAAAATAAAATCGCTGGCTAGGGTTAGGCTAAGGTGCACAAGAGGTGTCCAGAGCACAAAATTAAGGAGACACTCACTCTCATGTGCCATTTCTGTACTAGCACAAGGCTGAGAAACAGTGCCTCCTTAAATATTTCTCTCTGGGCACCTCAGTTGCCTCACCCGAGTTCCAGCCCTGAAATTATATCCAAATAACTGTGACAATATGGTACTGGATAGAATGAATACAAATGCTATAATTCTTCAATGGAAATTACTCAAATGCAAAACTAAATACATTGACTGCAAAAACAGATAGAATAAAATTTTTAGAAAGCAGAAATAAAAGCAAGGGGGTTGTACTGGGGTGAGGTGTTAGGATGTCTCAGTGTGCCAGTTTCCCTGTTGTACATAAGGAGGGAATCAACGTTTGCTTTTTACTACTTAAGTTATTAACTCAAGAAATAAAGCATTATGCAAACAATGAATTTGGAGGCACAACACAACAAAGCATAATCTGTCCACAAAAATGGACTTAGAGGAGAAATCCTCCTCTAAGCCTTAACCTCTTTCCTAATTAAATAAACATGAATGAAAATGAATGAACTAAGTATTTGAAACAAAATTTATAAGAAGTAAGACAAAGAGATATAGGAGGTAAGACTGACAAAAGATGAAGGTAATATATTATAAAATAAAAAAAGACAAGCTACTTTTAAATAAATTATTAAGTGGTCTCATGAAGCAGAAAGCATATATGCATCATGTCAGAAGTACAAAAAAGCTAAAACTTCACATATAGATACAATGAATTTATTACAAAAAGATAATTTGGTAAAATATTTGAATATTTTGCAAATACATTTCAAATTGTATATAAAATGAATGATCATCCAAGATAACATAAATTGTCAAAATGGATTGAAGAAAATATAGAACCTCTTAGACCAATAACTGAAGGAAACTGAGAAAGTTATCAAAAAACTCTCCTCAGAACAGATTTAAGCCTACATAGCTTTACAAATCAATGCTTTCAAGGCTTTGAATAAAAATAGCAATTATAAAAATTCCATTCTTGTTCATCTTTTTCAGAGTATTGAAGAATAAGGAAAGTTCCCTTTTCTTTTTTTTTGAAATTGGCCTAAGCCTCATATCCAGACACAATAAAGGCACAAAAAACCCATATACACATACAGAGCCAATCTCATGTATCAACACAACAGCTAAAGTCCTAAATAAAATATTAGTGAATCAAATCCTGTTGTGTATCAAAAGAATTCTCAAGGAAAATACAGCTCAACATTAAGAAATATGTTAATATAATTCATAATATTTTAATAGTCAAAGAGAAAAAGCAGATCATCTTATCATTAGATAGATGACAATAAGCTATTTGAGAAAAGGAATTAATTTCATGACCATTAATGTTATTATATAAATGATTCTTTAGGGAAGAGGGGATTGGTTAGAGAGAGTTCATAATTGCATCTATTCTGAACCCATTAGGAAATGTGAATGGTAACTCTTTCTCAAACCATTACATAGGAAAAGATACCCTAAAAATCTCTGACACATAGATGAATTCAGTCAGAGCAGCAGCTCTGAAAACCTAGACATGCTGGGCCATTGTTGTTCTTACCTCCCATGGCAACTGATGCTTCCAGGATCATGTTTCTTGGAAGCCTGAACTCACTCATTTTGCTGTTTGGGAACTTAGACTTTGATCCCAAAGCTAACAAGATAGATTGTTCCACTGCCGTCCCTCCTACCCTGATGCTGGAGGACCCAACAAAGGAAGAGTGGGGAGAGGACCAAGAAGAAAAGCAGAGGACCAAGATCCCTTCTCAACTGCTCCAGTGTTTAGACCTAAGTCAAAGAGAGAAGAGAAGCTTTGAAAGGGATGAAATTTTAGATGTTTCAAGTAAATGTTTTAGGATTTACATACATAAAAGTCTACGATCATAAATGTACAGTTTTCACAAAGCAAACATGCCCATGTGACTAGCACCCAAGTCAAGAAACAAAATATTACCAGCACCCCAAGAGCCCTTCTTAAGTGCCCCCATCTAGTCATGACTCCCATCTCCACCCAAGGGAAATAGCTAACTTGATTTTTAACAGGATAGTTTTATCTGCTTTTAAAAACTCTGTATAAATAAATGGGACCTGATCAAATTAAAATGCTTCTGCATAGCCAAAGAAACTGTCACAAGAGCAAACAGGCAACCCACAGAATGGGAGAAAATTTTCACGTGCTACAGATCCGACAGAGGGCTGATAACCAGAATCTATTTAGAACTCAGAAAAATCAGCAAGAAAAAATCAAACAACCCTATCAAAAAGTGGGCAAAGGACATGAACAGAAACTTTTCAAAAGAAGACAGAATAATGGCCAAAAATCATATGAAAAAATGCTCAACATCTCTAATCATCAGGGAAATGTGAATGAAAACCACAGTGAGATATCACCTATCTCCAGTGAGACTGGCCTTTATCAAAAAGTCCCAAAACAGTAAATGTTGACGTGGATGCGGAGAGATAGGAACACTCATACACTGCTGGTGGGACTGCAAATTAGTGCAACCTCTGTGGAAAGCAATATGAAAATACCTTAAAGAGATACAAGTAGAACTACCATTTGATCCAGCAATCCCATTGCTGGGCATCTACCCAAAAGAACAAAAGTCACTCTATGAAAAAGACACCTGCACTCGAATGTTTATAGCAGCACAATTCACAATTGCAAAGATGTGGAAACAATCCAAATGTCCATCAATGCATGAGTGGATTAATAAACTGTGGTATATGTATACCATGGAGTACTATTCAGCTTTAAGAAACAATGGTGATATAGCACCTCTTGTATTCCCCTGGAAAGTGCTGGAACACATTCTACTAAGCGAGGTATCCCAAGAATGGAAAAACAAGCACCACATGTCCTCACCATCAAATTGGTATTGGCTGGTATATGTGCACTTAAGTGCACATATAAGAATAACATTTATTGTATGCTGGGCAGGGGGAGGGGGGAGGGGGGAGGAGGGACAGGCATATGCACAAACAGTGAGTGCGATGCGCACCTCCCGGGGAATGGACACACTTGAAGCTCGGACTTGGGGGGTGAGGGGGGACAAGGGCATCATACGTAACCTAATCATCTGTACCCCCATAATATGCTGAAATAAAAAAAAAATTAAAAAAAACTCTATATAAACCTTAGAGGAATGTACTCTTTGTCTTGTTTCACTCTATCTTGTGTTCATGAGACTCATCTGTGGTGTTGTGTATTGGGGTCTGTCCATTCTCATTGCTATATGAATAGACCATGATTTTATTTACCCATTCATTCTTCACTTAGCAGGCAATTTAGTTGTTTCCTGTTTGGGCTACTATAGCTCGTGCTCCTATGAACATTGTTCTACATGTTTTTATGAATGTATCTGTGCATTTCTAAGTGAGATGTCTGAGTCATTGGAATTATACATTTAGCTTTAGGAGGCATTGCCAAGAGACTTTCCAAAGTTCTAATTTGCACTCATATTTATAGTATATGAAAGTCTCAGTTGCTCCACACTCTTGCCAACATTTTGTTTTCCATCTTCTTTCATTTTGGCCATTCTGTTAAGTATATAGCAGTATTTCATTGTGGTTTTGATTTTCATTTCTGTAACGACTAATGAAGTTGAATATCTTTTTATATGCTGCTGGGCCACTTAAAATTTCTCTATTATGAAGTTCCTATTCAAGTCATTTGCCCATTTTTCTATTGCATTGTCTGCCCTTTTTGGAGGGTGGTTCTCTTTTGTCTGTATATATTATTAATATAATTTGCCTATCTTTTATAGTACATCTCTCTTTTTTTCTCCTTCTTTTAGTTTTCTACAAACTCCCCTTCCTCTCTGTACTGTCAATACCCATAAGGCAGGACCAGTGTTCTCATCTTAGTGTCACTCTCAGGGGCTGACACTCTGTTTCCCTGAAAACACCTGCTCAAATATACCTATTGATTTGCATTAGGAGATTCTCTTTACTTGCTAAATTAGCCCAAGGTTCTTGACCTAGTGGTTTTACTGGGATTTTAAATATGGCAAAAACTTCTCCAGAAAAGTGGTAAAACCAGAATTAGCTCTATGGAGACAACATAAAGGATGTGTTTTAAGTGGTAGGAGCGAGAATTAATTTCTGCTGGGGTTGATGATTCCTATTTGAGTATCTTGGGAAAATAAGGAAAATATGAAGAGGGTCAAATGATCTTTTTCTACCCTCAAAAGGTAGAAAGCATCACATCTCTCATACCTGATGCTTTGCTATGCCGTGTTTCGTCTTGTTATACCTTTAGCATTTTTCTCCCCCACATTAATTGTCATTTCACTTGAAAGTGCCTCTGGCATCTCCTTCCAATTTTCATTATATCTCACTCTAAACTATCTCTCTGTTCCTTCTGGAAGTGTCCACGTTGCCTCCCCTCACATCCATTCTTCTCACAGTAGAAGCTTTCCAATTCTATCTTCACTCTCCCTGATTCCTAGATAACCTCATTCATTTTCTAGCCGTTAATCTCTTGCAATGGCCAGAGTAAGAAAATATCTGTTTCATCTAATGGAAATCATCCTAATCTAAATAATTGGAAAGTGGTCTATTTAATTTTAGCATGTAATTTTAATAGAGTTTAACCATATAAATAAACATCCATATTTTACAAAGTATAAAAAAAACAATAAAAATGTTAATTCTGTAGATCACAGTTTCAAAATTCTGTTCTGTGCTGAACTCTATAACATATAGCTACAATTCCCAGTAGATCTTCTCTGTAGCAAATAACCACCCCCATGAAGGTATTTATCAGTGATTATTTTCACACAGATTTTTATTCACCTTGAATTAAATTTCCAAAGAGGTAAATTTAAAGGCAACAGGAACTGACTTTTCAAGTTTGTCCAGCAGTTGTCAACCCTGGCTGCACCTTAGAAACCCCTGGGGGAGTATCTAAAAATTAGTGGTTTCTGGGCTCCACCCCAGACCAATTCATTTGGGATCTCTAGGGAGGGTCTTAGGCATCAGTACGTTTTAGAGGCTTTCTAGGGAAGTCTAAAACATAGCCAGAGTTAAAACTGCTGAGTCCATGGTCAAGAATATTAAAAAAAGAAGGGCGTAAGTAAAAAATGTTGAAAGGTTGACACTCAGTACTACATTTACGTTTGCAACTCTATATCCTCAGAAGCGGGTGAGAGTCCTCTCTTTGGCCCAGTCCTGGATTTCTGCTTGTCCAAACATGAGATAGAAGACCAGGCCAAACACATTGACAGCAGCAGACAGGAAAAAGACATTCCTCCATCCAGATTCAGAATCCTGGCCACAAAAAAAACTCAGAATAATTATTAATGTTACAAGCTCCTTCTCCACCAGTTCTAGTAGTCCTCTACATTGTGTACTGCAATGTTGATCACCGAGAATATAGGGAACAATAGGCAACAGGCAGTAGCCACTTAACATCTTAAGTCATCAAAAAAAGTTTATGAAACTGTTGGAAACAAGATGACTCTAAAATGCATATTGCCTTCTGAGTTGGGATGGATATTTCTTTAAACAAACATAAATTAAACTACACTAATGTTTTCCTGGAAATTTGGATTTTGACATTCATGAAAATATAATATTACTCATTTAAAATTATGCTTAAAGTGGCATCTGGAGCTCATTTTAGAGCTCATGTTTGTGTTTTCTCTGTTTTGTTTTGTTTTTGGCTGTTGGCATCAATCACAACAACCCATCTCAATGTAACACGACTTCTATTTGGTCTGCCTGTGTGATCCTCCTCATTAAGCCCTAGTAAGTCATAGCTCAGGTCCAGCACTATGATCACAGTGGATTCCTAGCAATTGAGTAAAAAATTAACCCAGAAACTATCAATAGATCACATAGAGATGTTAAAAACAAAACAAAACTTCTCTCTGTACACGGACACTCATCAGTCCTTCCATCCCAGCCTGGTACAGCCTTTTCATCTTCCTCATCAGCCTACACTTCCACATATTGAGCAAGCCTCACTGCCCACCCTCCCTGCAATGTCTCACAACCATTCTCTTTTTACCCATTTAACTTCTCTTTAAACTAGCCTTGGGACACTTTTTGTGTTTCCTTTTGTGACTTTTTTCTTAAAAGTTAAAATTAGTCTGAATAGATTCTTCATGATCTTCTTCTGCCCCTCTGTCTTCATCTCTTGCTATTCCTTGACATGTATCATTCACTCTGCTCATAACTAAGAACTGTTTCATGCTTGTCTACCTCTAGGAAGTCAAACATGCTGTCTGTCTTCATTTTTATCAATCTAACATCTATTCATTTTGAGAAATTCAGCTTATATTTTTCTTCCTCTGAGAAACTTGACCTAACAGAGTCTGACTTAGAGACTCCTGTGAATAGAGCAATTGTGTTGACATCCATACTTGTTTCCATCATGAGACTTTAAGAGCACAGCATGTATTTCCAATACCTAAAGCAATACCTGCCACTTGCAGATGTTCAATAAACTGGCCCAACCTGACTGATAAGGAATCCAGTGGCAGTAGAAGAGACAATTCCTGCAAGAAGTCCAAATCCCCTTGAAATTCCCATGAGGAAACTTGCATATCTGTGGGAAGATGATTTTATAAATTATTTTATATAGAAAGCCATCTACAGCTTCTGCAGCAACTCAACTGTAAAGCAGCTCAGCTCTAACAGCAAAGTCATTTTGCCTAAAGCAGACTTTCATTCACCTAAAGATAGAGCAATACCTCTTTGGAAACCCTGAAATTACCTGGCTACTGAGTCATTAACCAGGGAATAATGTAGTCTCCCTGGGAGCCAAGTTTCTCCACTTCGGTTGCTCAGCATGGAAGGCAGTCTGCAATGAGCAAGGCACAGACTCTAAAGCCAAATTGCCTGAGTCCAAATTGCCCAGGCCCTTGTGTGACCATAGTCATACCACTTAACCTTATGCCTCAGTCTTCTCCCCTATAAAATGAGGATAATGATAGGATCTACCTACTGTTACTGCGAGGATCAGATGTGTTGATAAATGACAAGTCTTTAGCGTAGGAATTGGCTCATGGTGAATGCATAAATATGTGGTAGCCAGTATGATCAATACCCTGGAAACTTTTCTAAAACACATGTGTGTGGGCATTTTCCCAGAGGACATAATCCAATCTCTGGCAGGAAAGTTTGGGAAGCCTTTTATCTAAATGATTACTAGGCAAGATTGTGGACTGTTGTTCTAAAAATGCTATATTAGGTCATGGCCACATACTGACATTTCTAGCTATTTGTCATTCTGCCATCAGTTAGTGCATGTCAACAACATGAAGGAGTTATGCAGCGACTGAAGTCTAACACTTCTCGAGGGGGCTGGTGGAGGGGAAAACACAGGTAAGGCTCTTACCTGGGGGCAACATCTAAGGTGTTGATGATAAACCCGGAGTCACACAGGTTGCTGGTCCCAGGAATAAGTATCAGCAAAATAATGGTTGTCATGTAACTGGAAGCCACAAAGGGCAGGGCCACCGCACATAGTGATGGAAGGAGGAGCCCTGGGCAATGAAGACACGCTGTCAAGATCCTTCTCAGACCATGCTCACAGAAAAGGGATTGGCTAACCAAACTCACACGCCTATCCTTACCTAGGGATGAAAAGAGTTTTCGCACAGTGATCAATCTGAGAAGATTCCTGGACAGAAGGAAATCTGCCAACTGACCTCCTAGAATTGTACAGCTTGAGGCAGCAATAAAAGGCAGGGAGGATAGAACCCCACTCTGAAAAAAGGAAATTTATACAGGGTAGTTATAGAGGTGCATATAGCACCAAAATTTATCAGTTACACAGACCAATGATTAGCCTACTACCCCCCAACCCCTGACATTTTTAGTTGTTTGTGGGAAATTAGCATCCTTTTTCACACCAGAAGAACATGTCTCAGGTAAGAGGGCCAGCAGCTGCATCACACTGGGCTGCAGATAAAAGCAACATTAATTTCTAAGAGAAAGTTTAAAATCAGCGGCCATGGAAGTATAACACAGTGGTTAAGAGCCCAGATGCTGCAGCAGCTCTACCACTTAGTATTGTGTAACCTTGGGCAAGTTATCTCACCTCTATGTGTCCCATTTCCACATTTGTGAGATGGAAATCATTACAATCTCTTAAGATCATTGTGAAGGTTAAATGAATGGTTACATGCAAAGTCAGAATGTAAAAGGTAGCATAGAACTATTTCTCCTTATTACCATTATCATCATTTTCATAGAAGTATAGGAAGTATACTCACATCTCTGACGTTAACATGGAGCACAGTACTGATGTATGTCGGTAGGTATGTTATGATTATGGTGCATAACCAGAAATGGCTGAAAAAACCCGTGAAAATGGCCCAAAGTGGAAGGCATCTGATCATGGCCTTTATGGGGACAGATCTTCTAGGAGAACTGGACTGAAAGGAAATAACTAATCAACATGAGTATTAACACAGGTCAGAGGGTGCCTCTCCCAGGCGATCCACGCCCTGCCCTGGAGGTCTCTGTATGGTCCACAGGTACAAGGGGTGCACTGTACCTGTTGAGCCAGTGAGGACATGATGTGTTCCTTTTCCCTGACACTTATGCATGGGTGATGCATGGGGTCATCATAGATCACCGTGAACCACAGGAAACAACAGACACAGCCAGTGCTACCTGGAAGTGGGAACGAAATTAGTTTTCAGGTAGATCTGTATACTGGGGGAAGGGAGTTGCCTCTGAAGTGGCATGTCTCGCCCTACCACACACTTATCCATTCATAGTTATCCTGCCATAAGGACCTAAATTTTCCCATTTCTCTTTCAATCTTTCTATAAACCTCCTTCTTCCATTAAAGCTTTCCAGATACTACCTCTCGAATTTAGAGTCACCATTTCTCAATGTCAGAGCCCTTTGGAGATAACATGACATTACATAGCTGACTGATAAAGGCTCCCATAGTTATAATGTTATATGTTTTTAGCAGCAACTTCTTAACGCACACATTATTGTCTTGTTTTTGAAGATGTGAACGGTCAGGACTGAAGAAGAGTAGTCATATATACTATGAAACAACCTGCCATGAACTAACTCAGTGTGGCAAGGAAAAATTTTCGGCACATTCACAAGAGACAGTGTTATTTGTATTCAAACCAGACGTCTACTACAAATTCTCAGAAGAAATATTTCTTGACAATACCTGGTTAATATGTACAAACCAAAATGATCTGGGAGTAGCATCATTAATGACAAAGCAATCCAAGCCAGAACCATATTCAATGACATCATTTGCCTATAATAACAAAGCAATCTGTAGAAACGTGTCTTATTACTGGGTTTTGAAGAAGAAGACTCTATGTCATTTAAAGAAGATTCTACGTTAAAAGATTCTGGGGACTAATGTTCTTTAAATTCCCTCTAATTACTGGATTCATTCACTCTTTTATTTTAAAGTCAGGCAGCATGATGATAGCAAAATGATAAAAACATTATAGAATGGATTCCTTGCCTCATGCATTTCACAGTCTAGTGGGGAGATAAGGGAAAATAAATAATTACACACCCACATAACTTAGAGAAGAAATGGCAGCAAGGATCCCAGAGGAGAGAATGGCTGAGTCGGATGAGATAAGTCCTGGAAGGTCCCATGGAGAAGGGGCATTTGAATTGAGCTTTGTAAGATTCACCTGGTAGAGAACAGGTTAAGGGCATCTTGGGCAGAAGTAATGATTATAATGAAATATGAAGACACATTGAAAATGTATTTCACCATCTTTGACATCTTAACTGCATGTAGTGACTAGACGAGGCATTTCAGATGTGGTGATATAGATTCTACAGAAGATGCTTGAGGCAGAAGGGTAAGGCTGCATTCTTGATTTCCCAGAAGCTGGTGCCATGTGTATAGTCATCTCCCCTGCCCTGCGCATGTGGCTCCCCAGAACCACCAGGAAGCTGTTAAATCAAGTTGTGTGACTAGATTAAGAAAGATTCCAATCCTCGACATTTTTCACCTTCCATTTAACAAAGGACATTTTCTGTCATATAGGAAGAATGTGGATGATGTAGGCATCAAAATGAATTCTTGGAAAAATGGAGGTGTTTGGATTTAAGAGAAAGAGACTTACCAAAGATATAGAAGATAAAAGGCCAGCCCAAGGCCTGTGAGATTAATCCTCCTACGCAGAGTATGATGAAGGATCCAAATGCTACCCCTGAAGAAGAGGGAGAAAAACACTCATGAAAATAGCAAAGGCTAAGACTTCGTGGCCTCCCTGAACGTGGTCCCTACAGTGAGGTGGCAGACTTAGAATTACTGGATGATGAAAGTATTTATTTCTACTCACAAATTTTCCCCAATAAAATCATGTGATGTAATTAAAATTAATGAACATCCCTGATTTCACTACTATACAATTCATCCATGTAACTCTTCAATGGCTCCTCAACACCAATGTGACCAAATCCAAATCCCTTAGTTTATCACAGAGACTCTCTGCAATCACAGCCCTGCAGTATTTCCTGATAACTACAGTTACATCCTTGCATGATGCAATATGAGGCTGGGAGCAGGAAAGGAAAGACTTACAAAAATCAATAAGATACAGTCCCTGCCTCCAAGGAGCTTTTGGTCCAATTGGAGAGAGAAAAATGTGAACAAAATTAACTGTCACAAGTGAAATAACATGTAGACTCTGGAGTCTATATTAAAAAAAAGCAACATAATTCACAGAGACCCATGGTAAGAAATGCATTTTACGTGGTAACATAATACACACACAAATATATACCAACGCTTCTACACGCAAGCACGCACGCATGCACGCCTCAAACAAAAGTTTCACAAATCGATATTTAATTTTAGCATGTGGAATGCACTCCAACATTTTCTATGCTATTCACTTTCATTTTTTTAAATGTTGATTTTGAGCCACTAAATTGATTTTATGACCTACTAATGGATTCCAACCTGCAATTTGAAAAAAAAATGATGATTTAAAGAAGAAGATTCTATGTTATTTAAAGAAGATTCTATGTTAAAAGATTCTGGGGACTAATGTTCTTTAAATTCCCTCTAATTACTGGATTCATTCACTCTTTTATTTTGAAAAACAATTAAAAAAATGATGTAGAAAATAAATATAATAAAACTACAATGTGCTATGGAAGTATACATGAAGATAAATTAATAACAATTATAAGATTTAGGAATTGTTTACATGAGCTAAGCAATAGGATAGATGAAATTTTGGCAAGGGAAACAGGAGCAGAGAAATTTCCAGGAATATGAGCCTGTGGGAGCAGAGCCAGAGGGAAGGGAAGTGCACATGTATGTGGAGAGCAGCACACATGCAAGTAGAGCCTCGCTTGCAGAGGGGTGTTCTATGGAAAGCAGGATGGAGCCAGATGACTGACCACCTTTATATCCATGCAATAAGGAAGTCAGTCTTTATCCTGTAAACATAAAGGAACACATTGAAGATTCTCAAGCAAATGAGCAAAAATGCCCCATCTGTACTTTAGAAAAATAACTTGCCTTTGATGGGAAGAAAAGTTTGGAACAAACCAAGCTAGAGAAGGGAGACCAGCAGAGCGTATTTGGAAATAGAGGAGGTGGTAGCAACTGTGATGAAAGGAAACGAGAAAGCAGGAGTGTTGCTGTGAAGTAAAAGTCCATAGGATGCAGCCGTATATTGGACCTGGCAGTGAGAAGTTTGGTGGAGCCTCAGTTGTTTTTCAAGTACATATTCTCAGCACTCCAGGTTGGGAAAACAGCAATGGTAAAGCTGCGGTGGCCTTAGTAGTAGGATCACACACCGTGGAGTGACAGTCCAGCATGGTGACTGAATGTGCCTCTGGGGCCAAAGGGCTGGGGCTCAAATCTCAGTTCCAACACATGCTGGCTATTGATATTTGGGCAATTTACTTAATCTCTACATTCCTAACTCCCCTGTCTGTAAAATAAGAGTGTACGATAGTACTTAAATGAGAGGGTGGTTGTGAGAATTAATTAGCTCAGAATAGTAAAGAGTTTAGAATAATACAGACATTTTCAGCCCAATTTCTCTCCTTAACACTTTGCGTTCTGGCAGGCTTAATTCTCACTTCAACATCTTTGATAAAATGATATTTATATAGTTTATTTGATCTTTTTCCATTATGCAATTCTTAAAACTTTAAACTTTTTCCTACAAGGATTTTCTCACTACCCTAGCTCACCCATTGTCTTTCCTGCTTTTGAGCCTCAATATCTTTACAGCACAAATGAATCTTTCTTATTTGTTATGTGACTGCCTTATATTGAATTTTTCAGTAGTACTATTTTCCCTCTTCCCCAAACCATCTGGTTTATAGAAGGAAAGATACAGTAGGATGGAACAGATAATAAAGCCGTGACCCATGTATACATCCTTACCTGATCCTGCAATGGTGGTGAGCTTGCTTCGTTCAAGTGGAGGAGCCCATTTTGCCCAAATTGTAAACTGACCTGTCCATGCCATTCCCTGAAATAAAAATCATTAATATCTTTGCCCTTTTATAAAAGTCATGAATCCGGATCCCACTTATAATGAGAAAGTATCTGGATACCTGGGCCATGCCCTGAACTGTACGAATCACAATGACCAAAATCACTCCAAAGTCAGCAGCCAATGGTGTAAAGAGGGTGAGAAGGGAAGAGATCAGCAAACCAGCACCAAGCATATGTTTTGCTCCAAATATCCCCGCTAAATATCCACTTGGGATCAGAGTCAGTATTATTCCATAGTTGATGGAGCTAAAGATGACACCTTGAATCTCTGGGCTCCATTGATATACAGAGTCCTAGAAAAAAAAAAAAAGAAGAAAAGAAAAGAAAACTCTTTGCTAAGAAATCCTTTTATGAAAATCTGCTTTATAGTCAGAGTTACTTAAGGTTGGTGAGACCCTACTATAAAATATCTATTTCATTTTTCTTGATTTTTTACCTACCTTAAACATTCTACATTTTCCAAATGAATGACCAATGATATCCCTAATTTGATTCCATTAGAGGGAGAGAAAAAAAAAGAGGAAATGAAGAAGAAAAGAGATACAGAAAATGGTTATATAAATGGAATAATAGGAAGAAGTAAATGGAAAAAGCCATTGAGAGATATTTCATCTGCGAAACAGTTTCCTTCAACTATTTTGTTTCTAGTAAAAGTAGGGTAACATGTTGTTGCATATCAAAAAATAAGGAAAACACAACGTTACTGAACTCTTACCAAAATCAGTCCCTAATTAAGACAAAAAGTCAAGTTTGGGAATTATTATCTGCCCTAAAAGAGCTGACTTCCTAAAACACATATTACAAATGAATAAGATCATGTTCTTCTGATATAACTCAATAAATAATTGAGTTATTTGAAGATAACTACCTAAAATACCTACATAATTGTGTAAATTATATTACCTAAGTAATTATTTACCTAAGATTAAATAACTTTTAGACATCATGCTATAATGCCCCTAGCTATTTGGCATCATGCTATAAGTTAATATAGAGAGCCAAAGAATATAAAATATAAAATATTTTATCCACTTAAAAAACACTATAAGTAATGCAAGGTATATGATTCATGTGATAATTAAAATTTGAAAATGAACGTAAATAAAATAGAGACTTTGAGAAGAGGGAAGAACAATTTGGGAAGGTGCCAGGAAAGAAGAAATATTTCAACTATCTTTTGAAGAACAACTATGATTTGTATAAAGAGAAAAAGGAAAATCCATTCTCATTGGAGAAAACAACAAAAGTGGGCTTGGAACATTTGGAATGATACCAAATGATGAGAAACTAACAGGGACTCTGACTGGCTCAGAGTAAAGACTTTTCCTGGGCCATTGATAGAGATATAAGTGTGCTGAGAAGTAGGACCAGATTCTGGAGGTGCACAGCATGTTAAGAGAGAACAGCATGTTTGGCAACTTGAAGGTGTACTGGATTCCTGATTCCAGGGGTATGAATCTGTAGAATTGATGATGGAAGAAATACTGGAGGTAATGATTTTATTTATTCATTATAAATAAGCTGGGTCCAATGCAATAAAATCATGAATTATGAATTATAGGGATGACATTAGAAATGTACAGTAAATGATAGTTTATTTAACTCATTGATTAACTAGAGAATCAGTAAGACATTACAACTGGTTCAGAGGTGAATTCAAAGAACCACACATACATAAGCAAGAAGCAATGCTGAAATAGATTTTAAATAGTTGATAAAAACTGGCTGATTCAACTGGGTGGTGAGTAAAGGAGAGTCCCAATTGATTTTCCACTGGGAAAAATTTCTTTGCAAAGTTATGGACAAGAATCATTTGCCTTTCTTTTCATTATATAGAATTTACAGGGTTGTAAAATTGCTCAAAAACAATAAAATATGCAGAAACCTGAATAGAATTGGATAACATAGAAGAATGCGCCTAGACAATATCTAGTTTTTCATTGAAGACACCCCACGATCTATTCCATTTTTTAATTTTTCACATTTTTCCCTAGACTTCCCCACCTTGTGATCATAATAATCTCAAAGAAATACTATTTTTATCGTAGAGGTAAGCAATGTCTCAAAGAAAATAATTCCAGTCATTTTTAATTTGTTATTGAAAATTTATACTTCTATACTCCACAGAATCAAGATCGAAGCCTTCCTTTAAAATTGAGTTTCTACCTCTCAACAAAGAGCCTTGCTTTCCATCACACTTACTCTTGTATTAAATTCTTTGATGGATCTGCTGAGGTTACTGAGGTTGTCTGCAAGAGGCCCCTCAGTGGAGACATTCGATAGACCATACTGCTGAGTGCTGTTCACCATGGCAATGATCGCAATGCTCAGACTCACACGTTGGGTTATCATGGTGAAGTTTGAGAAGTGCATGATGAGAGCCAACCCATAGCGTAAGGAACAGAAATCTGGACCTTGAACACACAGAAGTATGCAATGAGCATCCTGACCGAGACCCTTTTCTTTTCATTTCTCCTACTGCTAAATCTGAAAGAACTTTGGATCATATCATGCAGTCTCACTATCTTTTTCTATTAATACCAAAATAGCCAGGACTATAACCTTCCCTTGTCAAATTCTTTGGTTGGCTTTAAGACAATGAATATAGGATCTTATAATCAAATAAAGCAAATATGACCTTCTTTCAGAGGTGTGGGAAATAGAAGATAAATAGAGAAAAATCTAAACGTGAGGCATTTGTGTAGTATTGCCCCGAAGTAGAGTGAATGGGGAAGAAGGTGGCAGAACCAGTCAAAAAACCCAAGTCTCTGGGCTGCAAGTCAGTGGTCCCATCTTTTATGAACATTTATTTATCACAAAGTTTGAGAGTTTATACATAGAGAGCTACCTTTGAATTATGCTATTGCACATCCAAGGATTTGCTTTAAAAATATCTGAGAGATAGTATTTTAAATGAGCACTTCCACTAACTCCTTAGTGTAATGTGCTCTTAGACATATTTTTGCTGTGTGTCACTAGGCCCTGCCTTCCCATATGTTCAATTTATTTTCTTTAAAAAATTAATATATAGAATCATTTTTCCTAAGTCTTTAAGTGATATGGTAGTGGAGGAATATTCAATATATTACAAGGACAACACTTTTTTTTTAAGTATCCATAAAGTGGAACAATAAACCAATATTGAAAGAGTTCCCATGTCAATGATGGATTAGATTCCATATTTGGAGAACAAGGACTAAATGGAAACAAAGAGAGAACCTATGAAGAAATAGATAAAAATATAATGAAAGAAATAATTTTTAATGGTCAAATAAGCTTAGGGATAGGATTGGTTGCCTGTGAAAAAATTATTAATATTTCCATATTACTGGAAGTTTCCAAACTCAGGAGAAAGAGTCAATCACTTGGCAAGGATAATAATAGCAAAGACTTATACATAGGTTTGGGGTTTGCTTAACATGACTTTTTCAAAATTTATTCCATTCCTTAAATCCCAGGATTTGTCAATCATTTGGCTCAATTTCTGATAGATAACACTGTAAGTTTCCCTAAGGAAAAAGCAAAAGGTAACAGGAGCAGGGGTTGGAGTTGGCTCTGATATTAAACTGGGAGAATCTCTACAAAGGGGCAGCATGGTAGAGAATGGAGGAGGGGAGGGCAGGGATGGGTAAAGAACACTGGGAATAAGCTTCAGCGCTTCCGTAATGTAGCCTGCAAATAAGACCGCTGGCTTTACCTTTCCTGGTGGTAGGCTTCTCATCCATTTAGCTTCTCTAGGAAATGGTACCACACTTTGCAGTGGAGTTTCCCTGTGCCCCGAATCTCTTTTACCACAACGGTTTTTTTATCTATGGGGAGAACATAATCCAAAACATGACGTACAAATAATTTTCTCTTGTTAATGTTGCCTCCTCTCAGCATCAGTAAAAGTTTTGACCCAACACAGCTATATAATTTACATTTTACAGTACACTGCAGCTGTGTTTTTGGAGGACTGGATTGTTGTAAGGAAAGCTGGCTCTAAGTCCCAGCGATGTGCCTTAGAGCCAGTCATTTAAATTCTCTAATTATTCGTTTCCTCATTTGTTCAGTAACAGTAAGGCTCTTTTCTGAGTGGTTCTGTAAGAATCAAATGAGAAAAATTGCAAGTGCTTTATCAAACCATAGAGAACCATGCAAAGGTGAGGAGGATTATTGCTTGTATTATAGAGGATCATAAGACAAGGCAGTTAAATTAAGCTCAAGAGCTGAAAAGGAAGGTTCCAGAGCAGTATTTTCTTTCATTCTGACCATGTACAACCACAACAATGTTCCGTGTGTCTTCTTTGCACAGGAAAGATGACATTGCATAACTTATACATATCACATGTAAAGCTTTAAAATGTTTATTCACAATTTGGACACTTTATTGAACTGACAAGTTCTTCAAGTCACCTACAAAATGGAGACTTTCTACTACAATTATGAATAAATTCAGCTATTTTGACAGGCAAAGAGAATTCATGACCTCAAATATGATTATGTTTAATTTGATATTTACACACCAATCTAACTCTCTTTGGAGATACATACATTTGTTTCTTTTAGAAACAATCCTAATCCTATGACTATCATCCATTTTGTATCCATCCCTAAATTGAAGCTTCCATGACTTTAAAAATGCATGTATCATTTTTATATTGCATCATGCAAGGATTTCCATTCTTTCTGCACATAAATTTAAAAAGACTTATCAACACCCTAAAATAGGTTCATAATCTATGACTTTGGAATGGAAGATCATAAAGAAAGATACAGATGAAAAATTTTGCTCAAAAACTCCTTTGTAGTATTACTTGTGACAGCATAATACTAGAGATTAGTTAACCTAACAATAAGGATTTGGCAAGGCAATTTTGATAGATTTTTGAGATGGACTCTATTAAAATAGTGTTTTCAAAGATATTGAATAACATTAGAAAAATGCTTATACTCTAGTGTACAAAGCAGGATATGCTGTGCTCATCCACATACAGAAATAGAAACAGATTCACACAAGTGCCAGCAGTCGCTATATCTAGGTTACAGAACAGAGTGATCACTTTATGGTTTTTATTGTTATCAAGTGATTTTATTTTAATAATTAGTAGATACTCATTATATACCCAGAAGCAGCCAAGTGTATTTAAAAGAACAATAATTCGGCTTCACCAGCATAATCAGGTAGTTTTTCTACTTGCTAAATGTGTCTCTACAACTCTGAGAATAATGTGTCCTCACCTAAGTTTTGAAATTTCCTTTTTTGGTCACAATAGATGCAAATGGAGGCCCAATTGCCAGCAAGAGCAGGTCAGCACCAGGACAGATGTTGGCTGTTGCTCTGCTTTGGAAGGGTTCCAAGTCTTGCTAACATCTGGATATCAGGAGTTCAGCTCACTGCCCTATATTCAGATCCTAGCTGAAGCCATCTGGGTCCAAATCCAGATTTTGGACCATTTTCTATTTGATTTCACTTGTTATACAAGATCTCATGGCTTGGCTGAAGGCAACTTTTTAACTGTACAAGCAAATGCAAGTACTTATACTCTACTTAAAGCTTCCCTTCCAGCCTCTCCAATGAATCTTATAAACACTGAACTCTGGAGCTGAAAGAGACTCAGAGATCCTCTCTAGTCCAACCATTCATTTTACTCATGAGAAAGTTGGTATGCAGAAAGTTTGAAAAACTGCCTGAAGTCACACAGTTCACAGAGCCAGCACCAGGTCTCCTAATGCCCAGACTGCTGCTTTTTCTACCTGTTAATATTACTTCTCCTTTATTTTCATAATATTTTAAGCATAAGCTGAAAACACGATAGAGTAGCTTCATATTGAAGCATTCTAAAAGGGCAATTTATACAATTTTAAATCAAGTTTTAATCATTTATTCCAGAAGGAAATTTGATGATGAAAAATGCTTTAAGTTAAGCTTTGAATACTAAATACACAGAAAACTATTTTTTCTTGTTTTTTATATTCATGGAATTATATCACAAATCTATCATTTGAGTTTTCCTTCTTGTTCTCTGTTGCTGTCTAATGAGAAGAGATGAAAATCCTTACTTAGCTTTTATGGTTTCAAATGCTACTTTGAATTTTGTCTCAGGAGCTTATTTCAGTAGTTAATTTCCCTTTTTCCTTTGCATGAGACAAAAATCAAGTTAACATTCCAAATCATTCTAAACTGGGGTCTTTCTGTGACATAGCATTGGAAACTATTGTTCTAAAATAGCCACAGAAGCTTAGAAATTATGGGGTCTGAGCACTGGCATGATTGACATTCACTTAGAGATAGTGGAATAATTCCTATCCTTCTTGTAAACAATTGAGAACGTGTGACAATGTCAAAACCCTTCCCATTAGGGGTTACATTTCTAAAAAAAAAATAGTGAATTCTAGTGTCAGAGTTGTAAGTAGCCACAGAAAATGAATTGAAATTAAGTTAAAGGAAAATTTTATATGTAAAAAATAATTGTATGACACACTATAGGTTATATTTGAGATAAAATCAGTAATATAGATATTATGGTTTATGCATAAGCTGAAACAGTTTTTTACTATTTGTTTTAGTCTAGAACTCATTATTTTGTTATAATGGTCTTTCCATTACTCTTAGGCTTCCCCTAATATGCAACCTGTCTTGCATCATCTCTGTTAGCCAAGTCTTCTAGAGTTTACTCAGAGTAAATGTTACATGTAGTTCAAAGAGCATGAACCTGCAGTTGAGAGGGTATCTAGGGACTGAATTCTCTGCCAATCCCAATCTAAGTAAACCAGAGCAAGTTTCATAACCTCCCAGGATTTTAATTGTTTCATGGGAAAAATGGGGGTAATATTACTTCTTGGGGCTATCTGGAATGAAAACAAAGGTATGAGTCATGTCTTGTGATTATAAAGTATTATACCTTGTATAATGTTATTGATATTAACAACAGTCACGTTATTGGCAGTCCATGAGTAAGTACAGGCTTATAGCAAGTAAGATCTATTTCTATAAAATTCTTTGATTGACTGTTAAATTGTTTCTAAACTTTTCCTTTTGAAATGGATTCTTCTGGCCTGGAATCCACAAGCTCTGTGGAGAGGGGATGCATCCTGCTACAAACATCAGAGAACAGGGTAATTCCCTCTGCGCTAGTAAAACTGAAGCCCCTCTCATCACCTGCCTACCTTTCTGAGAAACTGGTAGTTCTGAAATAAAATTAGTTGTTCCGGTATATCATTTCTGTCATGCTGTCAATTAATTTATGTATTTAATCATGAGAAAAGAAAAAATGTACTGAGTACCAATGGCCAGGAATTCTGTAAGACAGGGTTATGCAAAAACTGAGGTGCAATTGGAGCACTGCCCATAGGGGGATCACAGCTCTTCCGGAGATAGGCAGGAGTGCCTGCACCATTCCTCCTGCTGCCCAGAACCTCGGGCTTTGTCTTCTAGGCCAATATGTGCTCAACTGTGCTTTGAATCGGAATTTTCTCTGGATAGGTTGGTAGATGGCATTTTCACTGAGGCTTTTCCCCTCTGGCTTCCCATCATAGCACTAATAGCTGCTCACCAAAATCTCTCTGGGTTCCTTTTCTTAGCTGTACAATGAAGGCTACAAGCCAGGTGATCCATACAAGCGCACACAATTTTTCTTGCCTTCAATCTTATTTACAACTTTAGTCATGTTCTCCTTTTCTTGAGAAGCAATTTTAAATACATAGAGAAGTCTGATAAGACTCACTAGTCACAGTCCCAAACGCAAACCTGATCAGTTCTGATCCAATATTTCACTCCACAGCCAAAGCCAGTACAACTCATCAAGGCATCACAGTTAATACTCACAAGGTCCTCAGAGAAGTGACCATCGTCCCCAGTGTCCATTGGCACCAGTGGCCTCTCAACTTTCGCTCTAGGGTTTTGATTGAATCGGTTACCTGTTTTAGAAAGCTTGTTTGTTTTGGAACTAGACAATTATTCCCAGATGGAGATTTTTAGGCTGTGATTAATGTTTTTTCTCTGACTTCCCCAAAAACTGTTTCCTCCCTTTAATGGACCTCTGATAGCTTAATAATTATCACCTAATCAAAAAGAAGAAAAGCACTTACCTTCACCATTAAACCGGTATTTTAAGCCCTAGACTGTAAGGCTAACTCGAAGAAAGAGGGAATTTCCATCCTTTCTTTCTTTTTAAATAATTCTTCTGGGTTTCACAGAGATAAATACTGAGCCACGTGGCAGTCGGACAGCACCAAGTTTGGTTCTACATTCTCAGAGCAGAAAGCCTGGGTTTGGCTTTGCGGCTTAATTTTTAACTTCATTTTCAAGTTCTCACTGATAGGGTGAGTATCTCAAAGATGTCACGGGTTTTTCTGCTTTGATTTGTGCCTACAATTATTCAATCAACAAGCCTTTTTCCTGAAAGCAAGGTGGCATGGTATGGAAGAAACAGCAGGGCTCCTGAGATTGGAGATGTGTTCAACTCCACCTTCACTTTCCAGTATTTTCTGTGACCTTGGACAAGTCACTTAACCTCTTTGAATTGGTTTCTGTATTAGTAAAGCAAAGATAGTAATTCTCATGCATGAGGTTATTGGACAAATGACATATATATGCTAACTGGTATTAGGTCCTTAAGAAATGAGATGTTTCTATTAAGGAGTTTTGTTAAGTAAGCTAGATTTTCCTTAAGCATTTGGTGTCCACAGCCTAATAAATGTGAGCTGTGGCTACTCTGACAATTTCCTGTGAAGCTATCCTGTACCCTTTCTGTCTGTTTCTTATCTATGTCCTTCCTAATCCACTTTCTAATTGGCTCTTGACTCTTCCATTTGTATTCTATTTGTGATTCTTAATTTTTGGACTGTGGTTGCTGCTGGATCTTCCTAGTTTGACTCCTGCCTCTTATAAAATGAGGTGGGGGCCTGCCCTCTTTGGCTTTATCAACTTCAAACTTCCCTAGTTGAGTTCCCCCATCCTAGTTAGTCTCACCATACTTCCCCAAAGACCTACTGGAGTGGGCTTAGCCGACTCAACACCTTAGCTAGACTATTTGGTCCCTATGTTAGTTTTCTATTGCTGCTCTAATAAATTACCACAACTTTGGAGGCTTAAAACAACACATATTCATCCTTACAGTTCTCGAGATCAGAAGTCCAAAAGGGGTTTCCTTGGGCCAAAATCAAGGTGTTGGCAGGGCTGTGTTTCCTCCAGAATTCCCAAGGGGAAATCCATTTCTTTGTCTTTTCCACCTTATAGCGGCCACCTACCTTCCTTGGCTCTTGGCAACCTTCCTTCATCTTTAAAGCCAACAGCATAACATCTTCAAATATTTTTCTCTCACTCCAACTCTTCTGCTTCTCTCTTATAAGGACCCTTGTAATTACACTGGGCCCACCTACAAAGTCCAGGATAACCTGCCCATCTCAAAATCGTTAACTAATCACACATGTAAAGTACATTTTGTCATACAAGGTAATATATTTACAGGTTCCATGGATTAAGATGTGGACATCTTTGGCGGGAAATACTCAACCAACCATAGCTGGTTTTGGGGAATAGAGGGATAATAGGAAGAATTGAAACAATGATTCCTTCCTTTCTTTAGTTAAAAATTCTGGTTATTGATTTTTTTGTAAAGTCATCATGTGCTTGATCAATGAAAGTAGTTAAAAAGATGACAAATGAGAACTTTTTTTGCTTCATTCATCCAGAAGAAAGTGTGACATTTTCTAAATCTGTGCCAAGGCAGAGCATGACCTGATACCAGTTCTGGTAGAAAAGCAGCTGAAAGTGGATCCCCCAAATAGGAGTAAATATAATAAGGAAATAGTGGTCAAAAGCCTTCAATGCCACAAGTAAGAGTCAGAGTGCATTCTTCAAGCTGCATGTTTTGTTTAGTGTAATCCTATAGTTGTATGTATAGTAGTATGTAGTGTAATCCTGGAGTTGGATTTTGCAAGCTTTTTGAAGGGATCTTGTTTATTTTGAGAATTACAATATCCACAGTGCTTGGCACAGTATCTGTCTAAGAATGTGCTAAACTATAATATGTGCTATTGTCTAAATGTATCCCTCCAAAACTTATATGCTGAAATCCTAACTCAGAAAGCGATAGCATTAGAAAGCGGAGTTTTAGGAAGTGATTAGGTCATGAGGGCAGACTCCTCATGAATTGGATTGCTGTCCTTATAAAAGGGATGCAAGGAAGTTCATTCAAATCTTCATCTATGTGAAGACGCAGCAAAAAGATGGCTACGTGTGAACCAGCAAGCAGGCCCCCACCAGACACTGAATTTGCCTGTGCCTTGATCTTGGACTTCTCACCTCCAGAACTGTGAGAAATACATTTTTGTTGTTTATTAGCCACCCAGTTTATGGTATTTTGTTAGAGCAGCCTGAAAAGACTAAGACAATATGTGTTTAATAAATATCAGTTTACTGAATGAATGAATTATTGAGTTACATTCACCACCAAGAATCAAGATTTCTGTAGCTTGTCCAAAAGCCTCACCCCCAATCATGAGTTTCACATAACAAAGTGCAATTAAATCAACTCAGTAAGCTATACCTTTAAAGAAGTTAACATAAAGAAGTTATTAAACATTTGTCCTTTGTGCTATCATTACAAAAAAAATTGAAAAAAAAGTTACATCTGTAACATTTATAAACATCAAAAGTAATGTAGCAGAAAAGTCAGAGAGCCTTAAAAATTTAGGTCTCTATAGCCTGACATTAACAGCTATTCCCAATCAGAGCAGTTCAATTGTACACTTTTTTTTTTTTTTTTTTATTTTGGTTTTTTGTTTTTTTTTTTTTTTTTTTTTTACAATTTGCTATGTTCCAGACATAGCAATAGCTTCTGAGAATATCAATTTGTTTAAGATCTGGCTCACGATTCTACAGAGTTCAGAGTCCACTGAGTGAACTACACATAGAGACAGGCAAGTAGGATGAAGGGTAATAAGCACAAACAATACAAGCTTGCACAGGCTACTAGGAAAGAACGAATAAAGACCCCTACCAACACAGGGGTGTCAGGCAAAGGCCTCCCAGAGAAGGAGGGTCAGTCTTCATTGGGTGGTGTGAATAAGTCAGTAATGCAGGGGAAGGACCTTCCAGAAAGAGCAAAGCCACAGAGGCTTGATGTGGGCAATTAGAACTGTTCAACATGACGGGATTAAAGTACAAAAGCATAGAGGAAATTTGGTGGACTGACTGGAAAATTGAGAAATATTTTTTAAAAAATCAATTGTTTTTCCCAGTAGTAGAAACAACTAGCCAGGAGTAGAAAGAGAATGACGTTTTTAATGTTCCCTAGCAAGAAAAACTACATTTTTAGGAATTATTTAAATAAGAAAAATGTGACTCGAAGAAAACAATAGAATTTTATTAAAGGACATGAAACAAGATGTGGGTAGATGGAACTATATGCCATATTCTTGAATGGGAGAAGTTAATATCATAAAAATATTGATGCTTCCTAAATTAATAAACACATTCAGTGAATATCCAATTAGAAGAAGGAAAAATGGAAGGACAAACTGGAAACAGCCTAAATTTCCATTAATGGGAGACTGAATACATTGTGATACATCCTTATTACAGAAAAGTAACTGACAGTTAAAAGGACCAAGCCAAGGTGAAGTGCACCAAGCATAGAGCAGCTCTTTGGCTAGAATTTTAAGATAAAGAGAGACACTTAAAAGCTACCATGGAGAAATAACAAAAGGAACAACTTTTAATCTAAACAATAGATGGGACAATAGAGGAACACCTCAATAATATGGTGAAATACCATGAAAGAGAAGCACAAATCACTTGTGTTTGTCCTATTCAGAACTTGCCACATACTCATGATTTAAAAAATCAACGTCTTTGGTTCCAAAAAAATTCTCTACTATTATCTCATCAAGTATTTCTACTCTACTCTTCTGTACTGACTCATTAGAGGCATACAGAGCTTTTTGTCTACTATCTCTGACTCTTAACTTCATTTTCCTATATATATATACATTTTTTTTTCTCTGTATTCTGCATTCTGAGTAAGTTTCTCAAAATTCCATTCCACTTCCCTAACACAGGACTCCTTAAATTTAATGTGCACATAAAACACTTGGGGAAATTATTAAAGTATTAAATACCTCAGTGTCTCAGTGTCTAGGATAGACCTGAGGTTCTGCATTTCTATCAAGTTCCCAGGTGATGCTGATCCTGATGCGTTGTATTCATTCATCGCTACTTGGTATAGAAATTCTCTGCCACTCTAATCCACTATATTTGGTCTATAATTTATTCTGGGAATAATATTTAGTCTAGAATTCATTTCAGCAATAAAATTTCTTCTTTCGATGTCCATATTTCTTTCTAGTATTTCAAAATTTTAAAATATTTAACATTTCTTGTATTATTTCTTCCTATTTCAGTTTCATAATTTTTTCATGTTTTTAAATGGAATTCATTTGTTTATTTCCTTGAGCATCCTAAACATACTTATTTTTTTCTGACTTTAAAATTAGTTTCATTTATGTTCTATTTGTTAAGTTTGGTTGCTGTCTTTTAGTTTTAGATTTCTTCTTGAATTTTAAAATTTTGGTGCACAAACCAAATTTCAGTGTTTTTATTTTTCTTTCTTTCTCAATATTTCTTCTTTCTTCCTTCTTTCCCTTACTCAGGCCTTACTTTATACTGTCTAGGAGTTTTTGGGTTGCCTACACCTAGTTTTTGGTGCCCACATTCCAAAATCAAGCCTGGTCTTACTGTGACATTCCAAGTCTCCTATCCTGTGGTGACAACCAGTCATTACAAATATAGTTTCTGATCCTATGGGAAGCTTGACTGAAGTCCCAGTTGCGAGCCTTATCCCATGTTTGCCTCCCTAACTCCTCAGGACTATGTCTTGTTTATCTCATAGCCCCAGACATCATTGGCCACAAATTAGTATGCAGTCTCTTTCACAACATAATGGACTGTTACTCCATGAATTAATATAAATATATTGGAGACAGGATATGTCTCAGGCGTTTTGCAGAGCTTTTCCCTGAAGGAATATGTGAACGTGTTAGTTTGCATATCAAAAGCTGTTACACCTCAGGAGGGCATCTCGGAAAGACAGTAGCGGCTGTATCCCACAAGGCGCTGTGTTTCTCAGACCTAAAGGTTTGGATTTGCTTTGTAAAGCAAAGCAGATCTGTTAAAAACTACAAGATGAGAGCTGATCAAAGAGTGCCCGCCCCGAACAAACAGCCACCCTGG